AGGATTAGCAGCGTCTGGTCGTCTTTCCTTACTATATGGGACCGAGGCACAACATAGTAAAAAAGAAAAAGTTACAACGAAAATTTCGACTCCTCGTAAACTGCATCGTTCTTTTCCAGTCGTCTTGGAAAAGAAAAAAGAATGTGTAAGTGCCTGTCGAAATACACTCGTATGTGCGTAAAAATACAATGTCGGCGAAAAAATGGAAAATAAACTCAAGCACACGTAATAGCGTTAAAAAATAATTTCTTTTGTTTTTTTAAATAAAAATATAAATATATAGGCATATTAAAATTTTTTTTAAATATTATATATCTTAAAAAGACAAATCGAGATAATATAAAATGTCGATTAGTGCCTTACGTGCAGTAGTCGTTTAAATGTTCTGGAAATCTTACTCTTCTTCCAGAACGCGTCGTTTTAGGTTTATTTTCAGATACATTCAAGGTATCATCGCTAGTGTTGGTTGTCGGTTGAGGAATCATGAGTGTAGGAGTCGTGTTGTGCGATTGTACCGAAGGAAAATCGACGTGAATAGGATTTCCTTCTAAATACGCTGCTGATGCTATCGTTTGTTCCGTTCTTATCGACTATATAGTACTTAGATTCACGTTGAAGAACTTTGAAGGGTCCTTCGTATGCTGATTCGAATGGTCGTCGATGCGAGTCTCGACTAACGAAAACGTGTGTACTATATCGTAAGTCAGGTTGAACGAAAACATCAGTCGATTGAGGTCGAGTGGAAGCAGGTTTAACTGAACGCATTGCGTTTGTAAGCCTGCTCGTGTAGGAGGTTAGATCCATGTTCATTGAAAAGGACGAAGGATCCACAAATTCTCCTGGAAGTCGAAGTGTCGTTCCATAAACGAGTTGAGCCGCAGTGTATCCAACGTCAGCTTTCACTGCATTGCGGATACCCAGTAAGACGAGTGGAAGAGCGTCGGTCCACTGTGAAACGTTTTCAGCTGATAGTGAAGCTTTTAGTTGCCGGTGAAAGCGTTCTACCAACCCGTTTGCTTGTGGGTGATAGGCAGTCGTTCGGAATCGAGTGGTTCCTAAAAGTGTGGTCAGGCGACGGAAAAGATCAGATTCAAACTGACGTCCGCGATCTGTAGTGATGGTTGAAGGGCAGCCGAAGTTTGCTACCCATCGTTCGACGAAGGCGCGAGCCACTGTTTCAGCAGTGATGTCCTTGATAGGTACTGCTTCTGGCCATCGAGTGAAACGGTCTACGCAGGTTAAGAGATAAGCGTATCCATTTGAATCTGGTAAAGGTCCTAACAAATCCAGATGAACATGGTCGAAACGAGCATCGGGAGTTTTAAATGAGCCTAAGGGACATTTATTGTGTCTGATAACCTTAAATTTTTGGCAGCTTACACAGGAGCGTGCCCACTTCCTCATGTCTTTATTTATGCCAGGCCAGCAAAACCGTTCTGCTATAAACTTGATGGTTGCACGAACACCTGGATGAGAAAGTTTGTGCAATGTATTGAATACATTGCGTCGATAATGTTTCAGCACGATTGGGCTATCCCTACCTGTAGATGTGTCACACAGTAAGGTTTCCTTACCTGTTTCCATCTGTTTGATGCGCTGTTTAAGGGTTGTGGACGATAACTCGTGCTGAAGATCAGTGTCTTCTTTTTGAAGCTCGGCGAGTTTAAGAAGGACGATTCCTCGGAAACTGTTCAAGGGAGTTATGCGAGATAAGGCGTCTGCAACTACATTGTTTGCTCCAGAGATGTGTTGAATATCCGAAGTAAACTGCGAAATGTAGTCCAGTTGTCGAGACTCACGGGGAGAGTACTTGTCAGAAGGAGAGCTTAACGAGAAAGTGAGCGGTTTGTGGTCCGTGAAAAGAGTGAATTCACGGCCTTCGATATAGTGTTAGAAATGCCGTACAGCACAATACATAGCTAAGAGTTCCCTACCGAATGTGCTGTACCTTGATTCGGTGTCTATCAACCTTCTAGAGAAAAATGCCAAGGGTTGCCAGCAGTTGTTAACCCATTGTTGTAAGACGCCTCCGATTGCCGAGTCCGATGCGTCTACTGCGATACTAATGGGTGCTTCGGTGTCCCGATGTGCGAGCATTGTCGCTTTAGCGATGAGTTCCTTAATTGTGGAGAATGCTTTTCGTGCGATGTCGTCCAGATTGATGGATTTCGCATTTCCACGAAGTTGATCGGTGAGAGGTTTCATAACCGATGCGCATTTCGGTATGAAGCGTCTATAGAAACTTACGAGGCCGTTAAACGTGCGTAATTGCTTGACGGTGGTCGGTTCTGGGTAATCCAGAATGGCCGCCACTTTGGTTCTAAGGGGTCGGATACCTTGAGCATCGATAGCGTGTCCCAGAAAGTCTAATGAGTCGGTTCCGAATTGGCATTTCTGAACGTTTACACTAATGCCATGTTTTTGTAGTCGTTCGAAAACAAGATCCAGATGCTTGAGATGTGTTTCTCTGTCCGGACTTGCGATTAGGCAGTCGTCAACATACGCATGTACGAAGTTGAGACTTCGAAAAACGTCGTCTATGAATCTTTGGAATGTTTGAGCAGCGTTTCTTAGACCGAAAGGCATTCGCAAAAATTTATAGAGTCCGAAGGGAGTTATGATAGCTGTTTTCGGTATGTCGTCAGTAGCCATAGGGATGTGGTTATACGCTTTAACCAAGTCCATTTTCGAAAAGACAGTTGTACCTTTCAAGGTAGCTGTCAAATCGTGAATGTGAGGCAACGGGTAACGTTCGGGAATGGTTTTCGCGTTCAATCGCCGATAATCACCAGTTGGACTCCAATCGTTGCCGTCCTTTTTAGGGACCATGTGCAACGGAGATGCATATGGGCTACTTGACGGTCGTATGATCCCTAAGTCCATCATGTGATCGAATTCGTTTTTCGCTAACCTTAGCTTTTCAGGAGCTAGTCGTCGTGCTTTAGAGAATACAGGTGTTCCTGTAGTCGTGGTGTGATGTGTAACATTGCTGGTTACACCTGGTAATCTCGGTTGCGTTTGTTGTATCCCAGGATACTTATCGAGAAGTGGCTGATAGAGTGGGTCTATCATATGTTTAACTGTGATTGGGGATACTCTGCAACCAGTAAAAGAAGTTACGCAAACGGACAAATAAGTGTTTCCGTCTACTAGCCTCCGTTTGCGAGTGTCGATGATCAGATTGTAGTGTTGTAGAAAGTCTATACCAATGATTGGCATAGAAACATCTGCAACAACGAAAATCCAGTGAATGGGTTTGCGTAAACCCACGTTAAGGTAAACATACCTTTTGCCATACGTTGCGATCGGTTTTCCGTTTGCCGCCTGTAAGTTTAGTGCCGATTCTTGAAGCCGATCGTTGGGATTCGCTGGGAGAACGCTAACTTCTGCGCCAGTATCGACGAGGTAGCGAACTCTCGTTGTCACATCTGTGACGTATAACAGACGGCTATGTTCGCCGGCTACGGTTGCCGTTAACGCGTGCCGGCTTGGAAGTTTCCCGAATTGGTTTTCGAATCAGTCGGTTTCGTGTCGGGAAAATTGCAGGGTTTTCTGCAATTTCTGGAAAGCTTTCCATACTGGTTATGATACCAGCACCAGTCGGGGTTATCTGTCTCTCGTGGTCTAGAGACAGATCGCTTACGCGAAGTGCTTCTACGCGGGGTGTGTGATCGCTTACGGTCGTTACAAAACTTAAGATAACGTGTAAGTGTATGACATAACTCTATTACATCATTCTGGGTTGTTTGAGGCTTTTCCTTGAATGAAAATACCTCGGTAGTAGGTTTCGTAATTTCTAGAATGCGGTCGGCAGATGCAGCTAGCTCGTCTAGGGCGTTGTTCTAGAACGAGACCAGAACCGCTTGCACCTGTTGGGGAAGTTTTGACAAGAAGAGTTGTTTGAATAGACCTTCGTCGAAAGTTCTTGGGCCTATAATCTCTCTCATCCGTTGCAGCATGTCTGTCGCAGAACCGTGTTGCAGGTCGATGTTATTGAAGAGTTGATCTAACCTTTGTCGATCGGTTAGGTCTCCGCATTTAAGAATGGAACGCTTTAACGTTTTGTACGGGTCAGAAACATCACTAGTAAACATACTAGGTGTTACGTACCCATTGAATTCGCGCGGTAGTGCCTTGACTACTGCAAGGAATTGTGCACGTGTATCGATCACGCCGTGCTCGGAGAAGTCGGCTTCTGCGTAGCAAAACCAGGCTTCGATGTTGTTGGGCCAGAAAGGCATCAGTTGAAACGAAGGCGGGGACAAGGTCTTAAGCTTGAGTACTTTAGGTGTCTGTTCAGTCATGATGAAATATGAAGTACGATAATGAACGAGGGGAAAATATATATATCCAAGAAAAAATACGGAACGAAATCACAGTGTTTAAAAAAAATAATAAATAAGGCAATGATATATAAAAACCCCAAAAAGGAACAGACTCACAGTTGCAATAAGGTGTACCAGATCACGACGGTCTCACCAATGATGATGTCACAGGTATTCAGTGTTTGACAACGCTTCTACCAGTAACACCTTCTAATGTATTTCGTTCCCACCCAGAGAAATCAAAAGACAGAGTCGAGGAGATCGGAAGAGTATATTTGGCGATGACCAATATATCGGAATTCTCTGATCTAATCTGGCTAGCGATTGCGGTTGATGTTGAGCACGGCGTTACTACACGTGATCTGGTGCGGATGCCTGACCGAGCGTTTTCAGCTAGATGAGTCCACTAAAACATATGGTCAGCATCCAATGTCGAAAACTTAGTGCTATTTATTTTGGGGATTTATTTACCGCTACAGTTAATTTAAACAGGGCTGTCATAAAGATACTAGATATTCGATTGCTGTTACACCAACTATTAAGATTTTGTCTTCTATTCATCCTGTCAAGTTACATTAGTTTAATGTCATATTGTAAGAAAACATTTGATGATCATTTATTGGTGATTGAACAGAGGATCATGTATTTATCTGCACAAACGAATTTGGATACATAGAAAGACGAGACATTTTCAAACTTTCAACACCTGTTTTCGTTTGGAGATGAGAGAAGTTCAAACTGAGGTACGTATGAGATTTTTGTTTCAGCTTAAAAAGCGGATTTGTATTTCGCCTCTTTTCCAAGTACAATATATACCTTATTACACTTGTCATTGCTAAGAACACAGGTTATGTTGAAATACCAAGGAAATAATACTAATTCTTGTAAGTAATGCAAGCAGTTTTAATGAGTTCTTTAAATCAGATAGAGGATACCATATTAGATATGAAGATCTACTGAATTTTGTTATTTGCAGATTATCTTAGTTACTTTGCACGTAAAATCGTATTTACACACATAACGTCAGTTAACTTGTGTATGTACATTGAAAGTTCTCACAATAAGCCATGAAACTAGCGTCACAAACATTTGATTTTTACCCCTAAATTTAACGGATTTTATTCTTGGGCCATAGTCTTTGATAAGCGGGAATACTATAGTATTCCCCACTTTTAGTGTAGTAGCTTAATCATTACTTCTTATCTATTTGACTGTAGATCACCGGACATTTAATTTTTCGCAAACGAATATATGTGTTCACTGTGTTGAAAAATTATGACCTTCGCTTGATTTTCGTTAGACAGAAATGGTGGGAGAACATTCCCTGGAATCTAAGACAAATAATTGTTTAATAAATGTGAGACACTTTGAGCGTCTTTTCTTGATCCTATGGACAATCTGGCAAATGACAATAAAATACCGAGTGCGATTAAGAAGAGGGGTCATAAAACAGTATTCTCCTCCATTGCTTAACCTAGGGCAACTAGAAACCTTCGTTTAAAATATCAGTTGGTGAGATACATGATGATAAGGGATTATCACAAGCTTTTTCTCACATCTATCTATCCTCATTCCCTAGTATAACTCCTCAGGTTTATTTCACTAGTATAAAGTGAACCATAGTGTGTCGGGTTCTAGAAGTTTGGAACATTATGACACAGCTGTTTGATCATTATTTGTTTTTATGTACTTCACAGGTCATTATTATGATCCTGAAAAAAGGCTGGATGAAGTTGGTTACCCGCTCCTGATGATTGTTTTTCTTTTCAAAGTCTGTTTTAAGGGACAAACGATATGGTTGCTGTGAGGTGATATCACGATGGCTTTTGAGTAATGTGTTATAAAATATCTTGAATACTGAACACTGAGGTTCAAATTTTGAATACAAATTCATAGATAAGTATTACCAACTAAAATGGATGACAGCAACAGAAAAAGCACCTAGTCGGTCATTTAGGTACATACTCAAATCCTGTTATATTCTTGAGAGTGCAATTTTACAGCTCCATAGATACCAGTGTACACTAACAACATTCGTTATCTGTATATTACGGTTTATTAAGATCATGTTACCGTTAATCTGTCTGTAAACTTTATTTAGAATTCTTTAGGGAATAGAAGTATCTAGAGGTCTTCAAATCTTTCGACATTGGCGAGGCAATCTACATGTGGCATAGTTTGCTAAACAGATATCCGTGAAATAAAGAGATAATGAAATTTTGTCAAAGCCCGTCAAACATTAAAAGATTTTCAAGCGGCATAAAATAAACTTATAAGGTGTGTAATCTTCCCTCGAGGTGATATTTTATCTGTTTAGACAAATGCGAACGTGTAGCCCGTGATATACTTGGGCAATAAACACAAAGGTTGAAAGCTCTTATTGGCTTTAGCGTTGTGATACGATTGTTTCTTTTGTGATCAATCTCCCTACACAAGTTTCTATTTGTTCACTTTGGGGTGAACATAATTTGTAAATCTTTTAATCTTCAGTTTGCCAATCGAAAAGCAATTAGCATGTAATAACTTGTTGGTCTAAATATTAAGTAACGGCTAAAATCAGTTACTAAACCTAATGTGTCTAGCTTTCGTTTAAAAACAACAACAATTTTTTTCTGCTTACTGGTCGTAGAATTTGTTTGCTCTATGAACCATCTCATAGTTTAAGATAAAGGATGAAATGGTGAACATATTTATCCAAATCTGTTACAAGGCCGCGATCTCAAAATGTTACTGAATAAACCATTCTTTGAGTTTTTACGCATTCTATTTGCAAAATTTGTAAGGACCTTTGAAATTTCATGAGGCAAGGAAGCCAAGGGTCTTTCTAGCACAAGGCCTAGAAATCACCGCTGTTGTACTAGTCAAACCAACATATTATTCATTCGATTCAATCTGCTTACGGCATTTATAAAGGCGTGCTGTCTTGTAATATCCCTAAAAATAAAAACAAAAACGACATCCGCTTTCAGCAAATCATTTAGTGCTACCACGGAGTTTCGCAGGACATTTCTTTGGAAATTAAAAACGTCCCTTATCTGATAAAACTACGAAACGACTGAAGAATATAGGCAAATCATAATTCAATAATTTTAACGTTTTGCATTTGAGAACACTTTTCCATATTTCTTTTATACGACTTGTGAAAATGTAAAAAAAATTCTCCGTATGATGTTAATCCATGCCCTCAAAAAGCGCTAAATTTTATAATCTTTTTCATTACTTTGGTTTAAAAATAACTTGTTTACTTTGTTTCATGTATTTTCCCTTAGAGTTGATAATGTTCTTGTTTCTTTGATTTTTTGTGATTATTTGATGTATTGACTGCAGTGATACAAAAAATGTGGTTTCTGCTTACTGATATCAAGTGTTAAGGTTCATCTCTTTTATGATACATTTTCCATCTATACTGAACATTCTGATTGCTGACATCAAATAATAAACTACGGATTAACTATATCAAACCTGGATTGTTTTAAATAGCCCGCTGACCATAAGGATAAATAGCATTTAAATTTTAGTTCGCGCCTAATGTTGTTGAGGATCGTGATTTGGTAAAGAACTAATTAGCAAACTGAAATTCTTTTAACCAGAATATATTTTATAACGTCAATTCACATCATCCGATATAGTTAAGTTTAACACCCATAACGAATTTATTGTGTTTCTCATGCTATGTGCACGTTTGCCTGAGGGCCTATGTTAATATCACTGAATCCGATTGAGGGCTCATAATATATTGTGTTTATCATTTATTAGTCACTTGAGTTTTTTAATTATCATTGACGGGTTATTGATATTGCTGTGTTATTTCATGAACTCTGTTTAGAGTGTCTTTACTAAGGCGATCAGCGTAAACTTTATTTGTCATGTCTAAAAGTTCAATTCAACTTGCTACTAGTTCGTTTACAAAACCTAAAGTCATATTACTTTTTATGCAACCACAGGAAGAATTAGAACAGGCTATCAAAGAAAGTGAAACAAGACTGATGATACTAGACTTTTTTGCGGATTGGTGTGGGCCTTGCAAAAGAGTCGCTCCAGAACTGGACAAAATTTGTGAAGAATGGGAAGATGTTTTATTCATAAAATTAAATGTAGATGAGTTGGAGGTAGGTGTTGTGAATTTCGGAATTGTTCTGAAGTTTGATTAAATATTCTTTTCATAATCACTTTCTGAATAAAAGTATTGGAAAAATTGCTTTAAGCTATTTAGAGTCGCTATCTTATAAATTGTGCCTATTTCTGAGTATACAGAATGTCATCAATCCAGATACAAAATGACTAATTTAAGCACGCTTATGTTGTTCACAGATTAAGCAGGTTAGACTTCAAACTTATCCTGTCGTCTATGTTTATGGGTAAATATGACTCTTCTAGCCTGATAAATGGCGTAGGCGTTAAAACTTATTCTTCTCAAACAATACCGACAGCAATATTTAGATGGACAATCAAAGGTTAGTGGCTAAACCATCCAGATATGGGATACAAAGTCTCTATAGTTTTTCCCTTTTGATGCAACTACTCTCCGTTGTCTCAAATCATCTTGTTAAAGATTATTTTAGTGACAAATCTGATCAACTGATTTTTGCATCTAATTTTTATCAGCAAATTATAGTTTGGAATTGGTTCTAGGAACTTTTGTTTGTTTATCCTTCTAACGAAGTCGAATATGTATTTATAGTTACTATTTCAATATATGTGTAGTTGGTTAACATTTATGCCGTTCTTCTGACACTTAGGTAAGTAGTTGCAGTGTTTATATCTTAGTGGCAGCACATCCACCAATGTTTGGATTTTATTCAGATAAAAAGTCATAGATGTGATAAAAAGTATACAGCTGACTTTAGTACTAATCAATAGCTTAATAACATCGTAGTATCCAAACAAAAGATTAAGCGTTAAATTACCATGTTAAGCTTGTTACAGTCAACTTACAACGTTATTAAACTTGGTCGGTTAGTTACATGTGGTTTGAATTTTTAGTGAAGTTTCAGAAAGTAATTCTTATTAACGCGGACATGGTTTATAACATCTTGATATCTCGATGAATTGTATGTATATATACTTTGTGATATTATGTTAACTAGTAAATACATTCCTCTTTGTCAAAAGTATGCATCTAGCATATCGTATGATTATTTTCCTCTAAATGTCTTTTTTTATCCTGCAGTGATGATTATGATACATTCTATACTGTGAACTAAAGCTGTGGGGCACAGTCAAATAAAATAGGATTCCCTTTATTAGAATCTGAGTTTCATTCATAAAAGTTGATCTTTCATTATTGTTACTAGCAAGACAATGAAAGCTCATAAAAGAATGTTTCTACCTAAGTTAATACTTTGGAAACAGGAGATCAGTAGAACTGGAAAGATATTTACAAACATAAAGGAAAATAGTCGAAAAGAGGGCCCTCGTTGACTAAGATAGATTACGTATTGTGTATTTCCTGTTAATCCTCATTACTGTTAGTTTATAGGTTTAAAAAGAAGAAATAACCATTGAGACATCAGATTAATCCACTAAATAGGTAATTGCAGTCCATTATTGCAATACGGAAATATGGATTGTTTAGCATTGCTCTAACGGTACATCAGACAATGATATTTCCAGACAAAGAATTGTCTTGCTAAATAGTGCGCGGTACTATTTTTCTATGAAAACAGTTTTCAATGACCTTCTGGCTGTTCAATTACTTTGATTTCTGCCTTTATTATCATACTTTCTTTTCCTAAACAGTCTAATAATTTAGGTAATTTCGCTAATTTTGGCAAACCTACAAAGGCTTAATACGTAGTCAATCACGTTGTGTTGAGTCAACCCTCAATTTGCCATAGTGCTCTTTCTATGAGGCACTGGAAATAAAACAGACCACTGGTACCGAAAGTTACATGAAATATAGATAGGGCCACAATTTATTTAAACATTATTTTCACATACATAAGTAATAGAAATCACGGGCTCTACTGACGACAAGAGTCAAAGAAGGTTCTGCTATAGATTAAAAATAATGATTCCTAACAGTATATGAAGACAGAAAAATTACTCCGTTAGCAGATTGATACATCAATTATTGGGCTGGTCAGATGGACTCCTATGATTCATATCCTTGAGAAACATAATATTTTCAGTATTTATTGTTATTGACAATTGAAGTTTTTCCTAGACATCATCCTCACTTGTACTTTTATTTTTAGTCTGCAGCCGAAACGTATGCTATAGCTGCAATGCCTACATTTATTGCATTCAAAGGCGGCGAAAAAGTGGACGAAGTTGTTGGTGCGAATTTAGACAAACTGAGAGAGATGATTGAAAAGTATAAGTAAATAAACCACGGGGGCTAATGAAAAAATAATTTCACTGAACATCTTTCTGTATCACGATTAGTCATATATTGCACTTAGTTACTATTATATGTAAAAGATATTTATGAACTGAGCGACATTTAACATTTCATTAATTAAAATTGATGATAAATTTCTGTTAACACATATATGAGAAGCGATACTTTAGTTTTCATTAAATATGTTCACTAAACAAATGTTATATTTCACTACAGCTGATTTGGTTATTTTGTTACTTGTTAAGCTGTTTTTGTCTGTTCTTGTGGAGTAACTTGACTGACAACATCGTATTATTTTTATTATCAGAAAGGAATGTATAAACGCTACACAATATACAGTCACTCATCTTTAAAATATCAACTAGAAACGGTAATTCACCAGATTATATGAAGTGTGTCAACAAAAGGAATACCATTAAGGTAAATAACTAGTTTTGATGTTGGCTACTAAAGACAAACGGCAGAAAAAGCTGATTCCAGTGATTCTTGTCAATTGCCTTTCAAACCATCGAGTGAACCTAACACTGATCATTAAAAGAGCATCACACATTTAAGGAAATTTGTTATAGAACAGATTAGCTCAATGACTGTGTAATTTATTCTTACAGTATTGTGTAGTTTATTGTAAACTACCTATCATGCATCATCATTGAACAATCAACTGTATGGAACGCGTCACTGTACACCAAATTTCTTGATTATGAAAAGGCATTTGATAGTGTGGATAGGAGAACCTCGTGAAAACATCTTCGACACTATGATGTACGTGAGAAAATCGTCAACATCATACGGAATTCATATGACAGACTACACTGCAAATTCGTGCATGGGGAATAGCTGACAGACGTATTCCAAGTAAGGACTGAAGTCAGACAAGGCTGTCTACTCTCTCCTTTCCTCTTTCCTTTGGTGGTCAACTGAATTATGAAGACCTCAACATCTGACGGTAAGCACGGAATGATAGACGATTTGGACTTCGCAGATGATCTGGCCCTTCTATCCCATACACTTTAACAAACAGTGTAGCAGAAGTCTCTGCATCCGTAGGCCTCAACATACAAAAGGGAAAAATCAAGATCCTCAAATACAACACGGAGAACACCAACCAAGTCACATTTGATGGAGACACTCTGGAAGAGGTGGAAACTTCCACTTACCTGAACAGCAGCATCGTCGATGAACAAGAAGGACCCGATGTAGGCGTAAAGCAATTATTGGTAAATTAAGAACAACATTTCTACATTTGAAGAACATATGGAACTCAAAACAACTTTCAACCAACATCAAAGTCACAACCTTGAATACGAATGTCCAGACAGTCCAACTATATGGAGCTGAAACATTGAGAACTACTACAACCACCATAAAAAAAGTTAAAGTATTTATAAACAACTGTCTACTCAGTATACTCAATGTCTGCTGGTCAGATACCGTCAGCAACAACCTACTGCAGAATAAAAAAACCACCTTCCATCTGAAGAGGAAATTAGGGAAAAACTCTGGAAGAAGGTAGGACATACATGATTGAAGTCGTCAAACTGAATCACGCGGAAGGCGCTAGCTTGGAACCCTGAATGGAAACATAGAAGAGGAAGTCCATAGGAATACACTGTATCGAGGATTGGAAACAGACAGGAAAAGGATGAATAGCAACCGGAATCAACGTGAAAGGATTGATCAGGACAGAGTTGGATGAAGAATGATGGTGGGTGACCTGTGCTGTTTCACTAACAGAGGTGAGTAAGTAGGTGACTTAACCCAAGTCATTTGTTTGAAAGGGTACAATAAATCTGCATTGAATTTTGATTTTAGTACTTAGAGTAGTTTGCTTAAAATCAGTTTCCTCGTTATCTGAATTATAAACATAAATTATCAGATCATGTTTTCGTATTTATTGATGGTAATACTGAAGTCGGTAATACTGGAAAATAAGAATTATTTTCTATCGATAACGATAATTTATTGACTAACGTGTAAAACGGATTAATATATATGATCATTGGATTTCATGATTTCCTGATACAGTCGTTTTAAAGTGTTTTTATCAATGAAAGCTTAATTTTCCCATACCATGTACTTGACTGATTTGGTTGATATTTGTTTTACAAGTCAGGTCCCCATTTGACCCCTGGGTTAGTGATCAGCTGTTTAAATATCTATTTTAATTTCATGTATTTGTTTATTTTGTAAACTCCATAACTATCTCCTAAATGTGATATTTTATCAATGATAAAATATTGTTAGTTAAAATCAACTATTTCTTTTATTAAAATAAATTGTACATTGCAATACTGTAGTGATAATAGAGGATAGTTTTACCAAATATGTCCCTATTATTCGTATTTTCATTATCAAGTTGTATATTAGATAATTTTAATGTGATGTAACAAATCCACAGTGAAAACTTTAATTGTTCTGCATCCTTAATGCTTATATTTTGTAGGACTGAAATAATGATAATTTATAGTTCAATGAGTTGTACTTATGAGTTAGTTAGATATATACATTTTATTTGATCTAATTCTTTGTAAATCAAATAGAGAAATCCCTAATAATACATATCAGTATGAAAACATAGGTGTATTGGAATCACTGTTCACATTTGATGGGACTTCAAGTGAGTATTGCTGAAGTGTGGGGGCCTAAATAAGAGTCGTAAGTCGGCAAGTGAAACAGTGAACCATAATTGACCAAGGTGATTAAAATATGTGATACATATTTCGAAATACTGTCTACCAGAAACGTAATGCTGACTGGGGTAGGAGTAGATTGGAATAAATCTAGAGATGGCTAATCAACGACATGAAATCAGTCCACGAATTAATTGACCATTGGACTGACCCCATATCAACAGGTATAGACTTCCAGCTTACGATTCGTCCGACAACTGTGACTAATGGTTGGAGTAATTAAGCGATGTGCTCCAAAATTCTGTAAAGTGGCACAGTCGGATCCATTTCTTATCTTCCTCTGATAGAATGGCTTGGTTTTATTTTACAATCCTTATTCTTAGAACTCATTGCTTTCTACAAAAGTAGATTTCCTATGTTTTGCTTTTCATGACATGTTGATAAACCTAATCTTTTGCTCTTCACTTTGCTAATTTTTTCTTTTACTATGTTTATATTAGTTGGGGTAAGTCGAACTGATATGTATTCCTCTCAGGCCATACGCTATCTAAGACAGACTAAAAGTTCGATTTAGTTAAAATGCTTATCACAGGCTAATGAATGTTAATGGAAAATACGCTTGTTCAACGAAGATATGTACTTAAAATAATGAAATAAAACCCATGACATCACTGAAAAAGAATTCAGACAGTATCATTTACTGAAGTCTTAAAATGGTATTTATAGTTAATTTACAAGTAAAGTAGTCTGTTGAACGATAGGAGGATCATTATATCATATCATATGTCATAGAAAGTTGCTTAATAATCTAGAATTGAAGAAATAATAAAACGAAATTAAAATTGTGAATCATAATTATCCACTTGACGAGTATGAGAAGGGTGAAGAATAAATTAAGAACATGAAGCTGATAATAAGGAATAACTAAAATTAAGATTTAAAAAAACTAACCAGATAAAATAAAACCAAATTACCATTTATATAAAATTAAGCGTTGGAGTCATAAAAGAATGATGGCTTGGACTGTTTCTTTGCACATAGAGTTCAGGTTTGAAAAAATGGATCGCCAGTGAATAAGTTATTCATTTGTACTCCTTTCCAACCAAACCGTTTTACTATGTAAATAATTTTAAAGGATTTATCAAAGAAGGCTAAGTGACCAGAGTTTCTAAGATGCTTTAATATTGAATATTTGACTGATTTACATTCACCTTTTGAAAGCCATGCGTGATAATTTTCGGAGGTGCGTTTGGCAAATTCTCGCTTTTTGTAGTCTACGTAACCTGCTTCACAAGAGCAGGTGGACTTATAAATACACATTGATGCGGTCCAGTGAGAGAGTTTGTCTATGATACATCTACAAACGATGGAACAGCTGAAAAAGACGGTGCGATGATTAGGGTTATAAAAGGTTTCCTTCAAGGATTCTTCAAATCTTTTTCAGCAGTATTTCCCTTTAACTAAAGGATTAGCAACAGAGTCTTCTTAGGGACTGTATGGGTTCTTGTAGACCGTAATTTAGGTTTCATATCGCACTCAATAAACCTGCATAGATGGCTGTTTTTGAGGAATGTCTATCAAGGTTGTGTAGTTCCTTGTCTGTCGTATCTCCCTACTATATTCACATAGCTTTCGATGATAAAAACTAAATTAAGCTCTTTTTCTGCTTAAAGGCTTCCAGCTATGGAAATACGTGTATTTCCCATTTCAAGTTGGTGTTAGGTTTATAGATCTTTACAATGTACCATGTTGTCTTCTAGTGAATAGGATATCGAGGAAACGAAATTTTGAGTTTGATTCCGATTCCAATGTAAATTTGATGGATTGACGGCAGTCACTGAACTTATCCACGATGAAGTTGAGGTGGCTGTTTTCATAATAAAAAATGAAAGTTTCATCCATATGCCTCCTGTATAAGTGGAAGTTTCCAGTGTTCGGTCGAAGTACTGTGTCCTCACGATTGTTCATGAAACAATTTTCAAGAACAAGGCCAAACAGTAAACCCATAGCGACGTCATTAATTTGTCTGTTAAACTCATTATTAGATCAAAACTGAACTCCGACGGTGCATCGTAGGAATACTTCCTTTAGATAATGCCTTTGAGCACTAATATCGAGGTTGTTGTCTTCACTATAATCATAGGAGGTTTATGTTCTCTGTTAGTGGAAATGGATGTCACATCTAAAGATGCTATTACTATTGCAGTTACACTGCCATATATATTTCTCTAAATAGCTTGAAATCGTAATGCTTATACGCAACGACTTTTAAACTTCACTTTTTCCTCGGTTCATTCAGATGTTTACTATACAAGGAGTACTTACAAATAAATCGAGGATTATGGGAACTGTCATTTATTTTTTGAATAAGCGACTGATACTAAGCTATGAAATGTTAGAGATTCAGTTTCCCACTCACTGGGTTAGTATAAAGTGATCATTATTTTTGTTATTAAATATAAGGTAGTTTACAAAAGGGCAAACTTATAAATATAAAAATTCCATGATTATTAGAAAATGTTTTTAGTTGTACTGATATTTTGAGTAACATCTAACCTGGTAC